AGTGATGTCAACTGAGGTGCACACGCGTGCTGATGACTATGCGACCACGCTCCTGACGACGCGCTACATACGGACCCACATTGACGGGACTTACGCACAACTGATCGAGACGATATCAGATGTTCACCCAAACCTTCCTTTGTCTCCAACAGCTCCTGTGAGAATCCCTGTCCATGGTACTTTCTTCACTCAAAGTCCCAGTGGGCAGCATGCAAAGCTGGAAGTGAGTTTGGTCGACGGTGTCCTTAAGCCTGACCCGGTGGGGGATGAGATCGTGACCCTTATGGGCACCCAGGGACAGTTCATCAAGGAAGGGGTTTCGCAGGCCACAACTTACAATGTGTTCACTGGGTCTTACGTCAAGGATCTCCGCACTTACCTGTTCTTCTTTGGAAACACAGCCTTACCAGGACACACTTTGGCTGCGGGAGAGGTTGAGCCTTCTGAGACAATGCACACCGAAGTCGTTGTGAAGAAGGGAGGAGTACAGTCGAAGATTCTGGTCGACATGGAGAAGGACCTCCAGGTCATCATGCCTTCCAAAACTCACGTCATAGACGCCACTGTCGCCCCCGATCTCCTGATGGGCGAGGGAATGATTGACGGCCGGAAAATGGGAGGAGTTTTCATCGAAGGATCCGAAGGCTTTGAGATGGAGGGCGCCCAGACCCAGAGCGGCGAGACGAGCATGCTCACCATCACCATCGGACGCCCAGTGGCCCACACTCGCCTCATTCAAGCATCCTCTGTTGTCAATCCAGAGGAAGTGACAGTACTTAGCATGGAAGAAAAGCTTCGCGAGACAGATGTAATGGATAACGAAATCGATGACTCACTATTGCGAGCCCGTAAGGTGCATTTTACTGGTGATGAAATCATCGCTGACCTTGCGCCTTCTCCTCCTGTGAAGGTTGATATTCCCACCTTTACAATTGACCACTCTAATGTACCCCTTGAGGCTGTAGTGGGAGTCACCAGGAAAACCACAAATTCTGTGGGCAAGAGTGTCAGCGAAGGCCACCAGCAGTCATCTCAGCGTGAAGGAAAGTCCATTGATGACATTCGTGCTAGATTCAACCTTGAGACTGGAGGTGATGATTCTGACCTGCCCACCGTAACCTATGTAGGCTTTGCAGACTTCACAACCACCATCGCTGACACTGTAGTAGTTTTCACCCCACGATCAGGTTCAGCTAACAAGGTTCTCAAGCCCCAGGTAGCACCAACAAAAGAGGTGGCACCAACCAAAGTTCTGAATCCAACTCTGGCAACAGAAGTTCCTGAGGTGACAAGTTTAGCACCCCGTCTGGCAACTTCTCGCCACAGTGAAGAGGAAATCATCATCGGAACTCCTTCTCAGACTCCTCCACTCAGGACAGCAGAGAATATTGCCAATGAAGAGAATATGGAAACAATGATGGTGTCCAAAACAGAAGGGACAATAGTGAAGACAGCTGGAATAGATGATCTCGCCACTGAAGGTGAGGTAATGTCCACCATCTCTACCCGGCGCTTCAACACTATTGACTTGTATCCTACAGGTCTTGTCTCTTCCATTGGTGGTACCATTGTGATGAATGACATGACAACTCTCTTGACCACCTATGTGTATGGTACTTACATACAAGGACAGTATGCTCAAATTGTGCAGAGTACATCCAGCATTTTCTATCTTGTGCCACTGTCATCAACCCAAGACATCCAGGCAACGAAACCATTTGAACCCATTGCTTCAACCATAAACTTTGACTACCCAGAACCTACAACTGAATTCTTTGATATTTATGATTATGACTATGAGGGAGCTACAACAGAAGACCTGCCTCCAAAGGTTGTTGAAGAAATTGTTGATAATGCTCTAGGCAGATCAGTTGCATCTAGTCCCAATCAGCAACAGATTGTGGACACAGACAAAGAAAATGACCAAACAGAATCCCCTCTGAAGCCAGATCCAGTTGATGATTTAATAGATCACATCACCACCCTCACTTTCTACACTACCTACTTCAAAGACAGCCAGACAACCGTTTCCACCAGACTAGAAACCTCAACGGTCCTTCGCCCCTTCATCTTCACCCAAGATTCCACACTTGAAGCAACTCCCACTGAAGAACCAGAAATTTCTGCTACTGAAGAATTGACAACCTATACATACTACACTACCCTGTTTGTTGATGGTTCGTCTACTGTTTCTAGCCGGACAGAAGTGCACACTAAAGGTGCTGGGGAGAGTATCCAGAATGATTTCTCTTCTGTTGCCACGACAATTCTTCCTACTTTTACTGCATTGGAAGTAGATAGTGCTACTCTTACACCCGATACTACACCATCAGATGAAATTGCTGTGGTAGAAGCAATCAGCATTGATGAATATGACCTGACCACTGAATCAGTAGTTGAATCTTTCACAGAAACCATGTCAGAATCTATGTCAGAGTCATCGACAGATTCCTCTGCACAGGATGTGACTGAAGCTCCAGGATTCTCTCTGGATTCCTCATTAAACCCCGACGAAGAAGTGAGCTCGGCTTTCTTACCACGCACATATTACACCACATACACTTACTATACCACATTCTACCGCTCAGGCATCTCGTCTATTGTGAGCAGCCTTGAGACCCAAACTAATGTGGTAACCGATCCTGACGACCAGGAGAAGTACAAGACTCTTACTCCTGAAGTGCCAATATATCCTGTCACCTACTATACAACCTTTACCTTCTGGACAACATACTTCAAGGAAAACACAACTTCTTCTGTGAGCTCTGAGAAGACAGTATCTAATGTTATCACGCCTACAGCACAAGTGAAGCCAACCATTATTCCTGAACTTCTTTCTACAGTTTCACCATCTCCAACGTTTGTATCCACGACTAAATCTAGTACTCCTGCTGTGACCACATTCTATACGACTTACACATATTACACCTCCACTTATATTGGAGATTCCACAATTGTAAACAGCCGATTGGAGACGAAAACCGAAGTTGTAACGGCTACTCCCACTCTTCCAGTGTTTGCCACAGCTACTGAAGAATCTACTGAATCATCTATTGCTCTTCCCTCAAAGTCAACAGGACTATTGTCTACCATTCGCGGTAGCACTGTGGTTGATGGAACTACAACCATCTTCTCAACAGACATTATTGGCACAGTGATTGATGGGCTCTATGCTCAGATTCAGTCGACAACCAGCTTTACTGTGGCTCCTACCACCACAAGTACCCCTGTCTTCCTTTTGCCAACATTCAGCACGGAAACCAAGGAAACTCTTCCATTCTTCCTCTTCCCAACAACAACAGAAAATGAGGAGACTACTACCACTACCTCTAGATCGACTCCATTCTTTATCTTCCCGCTTACCACCGAGGAGACAACAACAGAAACAACTCCTTTCTTCGTCCTTCACACCTCAGAGACAGAGTCAACCAGCACCCCATTCCTTCTGTTCCCTACGCTCACTGAAGAAACAACCACTGAAAGTGAATCTGTGCCTTTCTTCATTTTCCCAACAACATCTACAACAACAAAGACGCCATCTATTGAAGATCTGTTTTCAGCAATTTCCGAAAGTGTCCTTGATGCTCCTACTTCTCGCCCAGAACTTTTTGTCACACCGGTTCTTGACTCATCACTGAATGATGCTGCGACAGATACATTACCCACAGAGACAGCTACAGAAGCTTTACCTGAAGAAGAAGCAGTTACGGAACCCCCAGAGGAAGAGGTAATTGGTGTTTCTCCCACATCAAAGAGTAAACTACAATTTGCCTCAGTATTCCCAGGCTTCAAAAAACGACCATCTGGTTCCCGCAATAGGCCAGACGTCTTCCCTTTCATAAGACGTTCAAGCTTCCGACAGTGGTCTGCAACTGTTACAAATACTGGTTTGACTCCTACTGTCACAGCAACACCTGCAAGCAATTCTGATACTGCAAGAGCAACTACATCCAGTCGCCCATTCAGGTTTGGTTTTGGTACTTCAGCAGTGAGGACAACACCAACATCTTCACTTCGTTTACGATTCTCAACTCCTGGTGGATTTGGTGCTTCCAGCATTAGCCCGGGAGTTGCCAGAACCAGCAGTCCAAGACCAGGAAGTACCTCAGGCTTTAGATTTGGTTCAACTTCAAGTGTGCTGAGAGGGACCAGCAGTCCAGGTGGCTTTAGATTTGCTGGAACCCTTTCATCAGTTTTCCCCGCTAGTACTAAATCCATATCTCCATCGTCTGTCTTCTCAGGATTCACAGTAACAGCTGCACCTGAATCTGACCTTGAAGTAGACATAGATGATGAAAAATCTTCCTCCAATAACCCTGAATCAGGTTTCCGGCCTTTTAGTTTCCGTCCAAGACCAGGAGCGCGAACATCAAATGCCCCAGGAACACGATCCTCTATTCCATTTGCACTCCTTAATCGTCGACCAAACACACCAAAGAGACCAAGTGCGAGTGTAAGTCGATTTGCCCCAAAGGAGGAAGAGGATGAACCAGAGATTATTGAAACAGAGCCAGAGATCCAGCCAACAACTGAAGCTCCAACAACTTTCCGTAGGCAAGCCTTAGATGCACCAAGGCAGAACCGCTTCAGGCAGGGCCGCCCTGACTTATCTAAGCTATTCCCTCGAAGAAACAGAGCTCTTCAGAATGAAGCTTCAGAAGTGAACCCTGTGTATGTTGAAGCTGGGGGAAGGCGACTAACACAAGAAGAACTAGAGGAAATTTTGGCACAAGAGGTTTCAGATACAATTTTGAAGAGAAGAAAGCGTCAGGCAACATTTGGGCAACGCACTTCCCGAGGCAATGCAAGACCTAGTAGGAATAATCCGCCACCAGACACTAGTCGTAGAGCAAGAGTATCACGTCCTACAGCACGTGTGGCTCCCTCTCCACCAAGGTCAAGCAATAACTCTCCTTTCACACTTACCCCTGCACGTGGAAGAAGTCGTACCGCAGAATCAGAACCCAAGCAACCTGCACCTACTACACCTGTGAGGGAAAATAATCGAGCTCGAGGTTCTACGGCCCGCCAGTCAAGAACTCCTGCAACTCCTTCAACTAGCCGCACCAGCCTTCCACAAAGACCCAGATCAAGCAGGACAAGGAGTGCTGTTCCCTTAGGAAATATTCGTGGAAGAGGATTTAGACGTCCCTCTACAGATAACAATTTCCGTCCTTCTAGTAAATTTACTCCTAATCGTCAGTCTCCCATAGTTCCTCCCACAAGAAATTCTGCCAGGAGACCAACACTAAGCAGTAGTAGAGGCAGTACTCGTGACTCAGACCGCAACAAGCCTCAAGAAAACCCGATAACAGCATTCCGGAAGAAGCCGTCACCTGAAGTTCCAACAGAGCCACCTGCAATCTTTCCCAGTGATGATGGAGGTTTCTTGATTCAAGAAGAAATCACTGTAACTCGCGAAGTCCCTGTGAAAGCCACTATTCCAGTGGTTGAGAATGGACAAACTCAGCAAAAGGAAGTTATCACAGCTTCTTTACAAACGGAGGTAATTCAACCTGATCAGATCACACAAAGTACTATCGATGGGAGAGTCAGGCTTGTACTTAGCACCTTTGATGGAGAAAAGGATATCACTCACTATGTAGTAGATCCTGTGGAAACCACCACAGTGACACACACACGTACCTTCATTGGAGGTCGCCGTACTTCAGTCCCTGTTGAGCTTCCAACAACTGCTTATAATGTGATTACAGTGACAGAGACCAAGGCCGGTGGAGACATCCAGCAACTGCTTTCATTACTTCTTGGACAGCAACAGCAACAAAATCCTTTGCTTGCTGCTCTTGGTTTGGGACAACCTATGACCAGTGAGAGGGTACACACACGTACCTATGTCACCACTGTCACTAGTCACATATCAACAGCAATTCCTGTCATATTGCGTGGTAGAACTATTCAGACCACCATTGTAGAGTCTGAAGTGAATGTTATCACTGCTACAGAATTAAGTACAGAAACTGTATTTGCACAGAATACTGCATCGCCTTTCATCAATCCTAACCCCCTCAACCAACTTCTGCCAATCCTCCTACAGGGTCAATTGCAACAACAATCTCCACAGATGAGACCCACGCGTGAGCCATCTATTGATACACAGTCAGTTACCCCACAATTGCTGGAACAGGCATTAAAACAGCAAGAAGCACTTAAGGCAGAAAATCCTCCCACACCATCACCTCCATTACCTACTCCAGTTGAAACTTCAATTGTGACACTATATGTCTCAGGAAAACGACCAGGAGAGTTTTCAACCCTATTGTCAACAGTGACATTAAGTGGTGATTCAACTCGTATCAAACGTGGTTCTCTCTCCACAAAGGATGTACAGCCAACGGTCCTTCCCCATTACATAGAAACAGACAAAGGTATCTTCCAGCTCCCAGAAACATATGAAGCAGATGACATGGACTGGTTTATAATGTCTGCTATGAATGAGATTGACACTAGTGATATCAGGAAAGTGACACCAAGCTTAGAATCTGTGTTGGGAGATTTAAGTCAGTATTCATCTCAAGCAACTGAAAGCATTTCCTACAAAACGAGTCCTTTTTTATGGGAGGGCCCCGCTGAGTCAACCCCGCTCAAGCGGAATGTTCGTAGTGCACAAAGGGGTAGCAATGAAGACCAAGGTGAACTTCGATTCCCAGGTGCCAGGAAGATCCAAGATGGAACTCGTCAGCAGATTGTTGACGATGAACGCCCCGTTCTTGGACAGTTCAATATTCCAGGCCTCAGATTCCAGAGTCGTCTGATTTCTGAACAAATCCAGCAGCTACAGGCACCAACAACCTACTACACAACATTTACATACTACACAACACTTGTTGATGATATTGGACGTGAGTATGTGCAGAGCTCAGAGGAAACTATCACTCAGTTGGCTACTCATGGTAATGTGCGATTTGATGATTTTACCAGGATTGGTGGAGAATCACCCTTGTTAACTACTGTTCCTATACAGGCCAAATTTACACTAGAGGATGCCATCATTCCAGGAAAGCCAAGACCTGTTCCTGATCCAGTATTTAAAGAGCCAGAACCACCATTTGGGCCAGTCGTCCGAGATTCAGTCATTCAGCCTGTTGAACCATCTGAGAGACCCTCTGGTCGTAAAGTTCCATCATCAGTAGCTGAGCAATTGATACCACAGCAGAATCTTGCTTCTGATCAAGATTTGTTTGGAGATCAGATCGATACAGAAGACCCAGTGAACCTTGCACAAAATCCTCGTCGAATTGTCCTTACCCGTAAACGGCCTATTTCCCAGCAGACACCTGAAGACAGACGTCGTGTTGTGATTACTCGCAAACGACCTGTTAGTCAAAAGAATGAGCTTGGAAGTGAAGTAGTTCCAGTAGATGAACCTGTAACCCCTGAGCAGGCTCTCCGTAGAACACCTGCTTCTGCACCCTCAGGTGGTGACCTGAAAAAAATTGAGAATGCAGTGAAGTCAGATGGACTTCTAGAATCTAATGGGCAGGGTACACTCCAAGGAACTATTAAAGCTACTCATGAGATCATGGAAATGGAAGAACAAGATCAAGAGGAAGAAATACCTGGTAGCCCTGGTTCTAGTCGCCAAGTACGTGTCACCGTCACCAGAAGACGACCTGTTCTACTTACAGAAACTGAGGATATTGCAGACATAACCACAACACTCTCAGGAGGGCGGCGACGTGTGGTGGTCACAAGGCGCCTTCCACAGCCAACAGTTGTAGCTAGTCCACTTCGTCCATTGGTAGCTACAGTCAATACTTTCTACACTGTGTATTCTTATCTCTACACTCTGTATGAAAACCAGACCCCCTTCTCTGTTTCTACAAGGGAAGTAACCGTCTCAAATCAAATAGATCCTACAGTTGTTTCAGTTTTACCTACTTTCCACACAGGAAGAGCTGCTACTGGATTGTACACATTAGAAAATGGATTTAGTGTTGCTACCTTGGGAGAGCGTGTTATAGATACTCTTACTACCCAGATCTTCCTTGCATCTGCAACTCTGATAAACATCACACCAGAAGCTGTCCAGAAAAATACAGAACAGAAGCAGACAGATCTACCTGGAGTAACAACAGAACCATCATTTAGTGTGCCTACTGAAGCACCTACACCTCTTCAGTCTTCACTGGCAGAGGATGAAGGTGTTGTACCTACCAACACACCAATCCTTACAACCAGCAGCTTTAGAGCCACTCGTAGAGGACAACAAACTTCACTCCCTAATCAGAGAGGAAGAGAAACAACGCAACCTGCAGAAGAAATTACAACAACAGAGCCGACAAAGCCTACACCATCAAGAGCAGGTTTAAGGAACCGTGGGCGAGGTACTGTAAGATTCGTTGATAACCGTCAGCGTAATCGCATTACAGTTACTAGGCGAAGGCCAGTATCACCAGCAACAAGGGAACCAAGGCCGGATCCCAACACCAGAACAGTCCCCGAGAGAGTGACGACAGCAACGCCCGAGGAGGAGACGTTCCTAAAGACTGAAGAGTTTGAGGAGTCTCCTGAACAACCAGTAACTGATTCTTCAAGGACTCGCCAAAGGCCAACTCCAGCTGTTCCCACAAGACAACGTGGAAGGCCAACCACTTTCAGACAGTCAGAAGATTCAGTTGCAGATGATATTTCTGAGTCATCTCAGCCTACCAGAAGGCCCTCCGTTTTCAGCCTTCCAAGTAGCCGACGACAGCCAGAAACACCACCTTCGAGATTCAGGGACAGAGTCACACCTAAACCAACTGAAGAGCCTATTACTGAGGAAGCTGAAACTGAAGCTCCTCCAGAAGCTCCTCCAGTAACTGATGCCCCTGTGCCCTCTCCTACTCCGACTAAACCTACGAGGCCTCCACGCAAATCCCTTCGGAGAGATGATATCCCTATCATTCGTCGCCCTGGAAGCTCTCGTCCTACACGCCCCTTCGTGCATCAAGATGACTCGGAAACACCTGAATCTAAGCCAAGTCTGAGATTCACGCCAGCACCAGAACCCAAACCCACAGATCCTCCATTGCTGGAAGATACTGATCCTGTGGAAGAGACTGATCCTTTGGAGGGTGACATTGGTCTTGATGATTACTATTATGATGATTATTATTATGATGATTATTATTATGATGAGAATGGTGATGCACTTCCATTGGATGAGACTACAGGAGCTGAAGAACTTCCATTGAGTGAAGCCACTGGAGATGAAGCCCTTCCATTGGATGAGTCCCCTGGAGCTGAAGAGGTTCCTGAGGATGAATCATCCGATGTTACACCAAAGACTTCTACTCCGACAACCACAACCTCGAGGCCAAGATTTGTAAGACCAACACAGCTCACCTTCACTACTAGCTCCTTTGACATCATTGAGGCCCTGAAGCGTGAACGAACCTACACTCAGATTGTGGCTCCCACCCGCACACGTGGCCAAGGCACGCGCCGACGCACCCGCCCTCAGGAGCCGTCCACTACTTCTTCCATGGCTTCTAACGTGGTGTATAGTACCTATGCCACCACCACGCTGCTTCCAATTCTTGGCGGAGAGCAGTCGATTACACTTACCATTCTGACTTCTACTCTCACCACTCTCGCTGAGGAAGAAATCCACCTCATCACCGATTCCCCAGAGCTCTTTGATCCGGCCCTCATCACCACCACCACAGGCGCACCTTCTCTTTCTGTCCCACTGTTGAGCCTGTCCTCTGTCTCACTCTCGCCCACCGCGGCGGCTGCGTCTCCGGATGCCTCACCAACCCTCTCGCTGTTCACTGAGGACGTGGTGGCCTCCACTACTGACACTGAGTCCCAAGTGTCACCTACCCTTCCTGCACCCCAGCAGTCCTCCTCTAGGGGTAAGTTGCATGTCCTTTATATCAACAAGATAATCCTTAACTTCGTACGTAGTGTGTAGTTTCAAATTACGCAGTAATGTAGAAACACTTCTAAAACCTATTCTTCATTGTCAGCTTGCATGAAAATTTACATGCATTTTACACATTTTCCCCCTTTCTGTTTAACCAGCGACTCATGTTTACATATGCTGCTGTTATAAGCCTTAGATATGTTTAATTCAACAATCTAGGTTCAGCTATACATAGATAATATGCTATAATGTAGTTATAAACAGCATGCATTCATTGAGGTCGAAAATAACCATTACCTACATCTTCGTTGACTTCCTTCTGCCTTTAACAACCAGCAGTTATAACTAACAAATCGTTAGAACACACGAACATACCACTTGATCCCTTGCTGTCCTCTGTTACTAATCCTGCTTGTTTCCTCGTCGTGTATATATTTGTATGTGCTATGTTAAGTGTAGAACTCATTCGTTTGATAACTGCTGTCCAAATGCCAGTATTAATTAGCTGTAATGCGAGTGTGGGTTGACTGATACCCGTCACACCTAACATTGGTGCATGGCCTTGTGCTTGCCAGTATATGTATGTACATTTTTAACAAGCTATTTTTCCAGGATGTTTATCTTTTTTGTAGAAATTACGGGTAAGTGTAGGTAAGTGAGGAGAGTATTTTTGGTGAAAGATAAAAAGAAGATTAGTACATTTCTCTAAAACTAAAATATTTACGTAAAAGTCCTAGAAACCTAAAAGAAAAAAAAAATTGTTGAGAGAAACAAAGGCCTTGTTATATCCATTCCAAGTTGTTCATATGTGTGTCTGTTCGAATTCCAGCTTTCGGCTTCAGTGGTTCCCTTGCCGGAATTGCAGGTACGTTTCGTTCGATTCCGTTGACCATGTCTTCGCTTATATTACGAGATTATGGCTTATTAACCGTGGCTTTAGATGTTTATTGTGATGACGCATGTTGTACCCTCAGCATATGTAGACGAAGATTGTTTAGCTTTGTGTTTTTATTAGATAATGTGATGTCCGGAAGCTATAATGGGTTGTCATCATAAGAGTTCAGTAAAGCAAAGGAGGCATAACATTACACAGACATAATTATATATATATATATATATATATATATATATATATATATATATATATATATATGTATGTATATATATATATATGTATATATATATGTATGTATATATTATATATATATATATATATATATATATATATATATATATATGTATGTATGTATGTAGGTATACATGTATATGTATGTATGTATGTATGTATACATGTATGTATATGTATATATGTATACATGTATATGTATGTATGTATACATGTATACATGTATATGTATATATGTATATATACATATACATACACATATATATATATATTATATATATATATATATATATATGCATGTATGTATGTATGCCTGCATGCATATATGCATATATACATGAAATTTAATGTGTCTAAAAAAAACGCATGTGTACTAGTAACTAACATGTACACGTCAAGAAACTTACAAACTACTTATGCCATTAAGAACCCAAAGACCTTGGAATCAAGTAATTGTTTTACCCTCATAAACATCACGCACAAACCCTCATAACTCCCACCCCCACCCCCTCATAACTCCCCCACCCCATCCCCTCACAAAGCGAGTGGGACCGTGTGTTATGAAAGCTTCTCTTCCATCCTCTCTCACCCTCTCCCAGCTCGCTTAGGTTGTAATGTTGTTAACAGGGGTTGTGAGTCCCAATGTTGTGATAATGCTGAGCTTCCCCCAGACCCCTTCCCTACCCCCTACTTGTAGCCTTTAAGATTTTAGCTTGTCGGGTTTTGACTTGTTATGAGGCTGCCATGTGTGCAGTTGTGTGTTTTCATTTTTTTGAGAATTATTTACTATAGTTTTTTTTATCTTCCTCTTTCAAATTATTTCTGCATTTTTCTCCTTACTCTCTGCTTCTCTCAATCTCTTAGTCTCTGTTTCTTTGTCTCTCTCTCTCTCTCTCTCTCTCTCTCTCTCTCTCTCTCTCTCTCTCTCTCTCTCTCTCTCTCTCTCTCTCTCTCTCTCTCTCTCTCTCTCTCTCCCCCTCTCCCTCTCCCTCCCTCTCTCTCTTGCTCTCTATTCTCCCTCCTTCTCTTCCTTTTTTAGCCATATATTTTATTTCCCACTATGCATAAAGCAAATGTCAAAACCCCACAAGTAAGCTTGTATCACATGTATTGGCAGTGCACTGATATTTTGAACGTAAATGCCTATGTTTATATTCGTTGCAGAATCATGATTTACTTGAAGAATGATGCACTTACGCTAGATTTGCGATTTCTTTGCTCATGAAACAAAACTATAAAGTCACATAACGTTTTGCACACTTCTGCAACTTGCACGCGAATATAGAGGCGTTTACGTCTTGAGGTGACCTCCGGGTGACCTCATGTTGCAATGCTTGAGATGGTTATGGCGGAATGCAAAGCAAGTCCCTCTTGGTCATGCAGGGTCAGGACAGGGTTCGGGACGGGCGGTGGGTGGACAGCCCGGGTCAAACCTGGTGGGCGTCTTGGAACCGAGCGAAGGTCACCCAAGCGGACAGCGTCTTGGGGCGCGGTTCAGCATCGGCGCCAGGCACAATCTGGCCACCAGGGTCATGAGCAATGGCGTCGAGGTCATTGTGGCGGGTAAGTGCATGAGTAGAAGGCGCGACGCGAAGGCTGGGCGAGGTCAGGGCGGGTCAGCGAGCCGGAGCGTCGGGGTCGTGTTTTAGAAAGAGGAGGAGTCTCCGAGGTCGTTTGTTGGAACATTGTTTGTGACTGCCGGATGCTGTTGCCGTTGCGCTTTTGTTTATGTATTATTTATTTATTTATCTATTTATTCATTTTTGCTACTAATCACTTAATCCATGATTTACGAGCCTGGTTAACCCCTTCGCTAATATTTGCGATTCACAACGCTTAAATAACAACAATAATGATGATATTGTATACAGCTTTCCGCCAGTAACAACTGATATTCCATTATAGTCCAGATTATTTACCCTCCCCCCCCCACCTTATATTTTTTTCATAAACACCGCAATATTTCTCACGCACCCTTTTGCCCTCCTAAAAAAAAAAAAAAAAGAAAAAAAAAAAACATAAATGAAATAACTAGGAGTTTGGACACTGATTTATTAGATTTTGTTTTTGTTATTTTCTCAATTTTCACGCATTCTTTTGTCTGTCGCGCACCCTGTTTACGTATCTCACGCACCCTAAGTTTGTCAATATACTTTTTTTTATCCTTACTCCTACCCCACCCCCCAAAAAATGGACATGATTGACATATTGAGAATAAAAATACCAACACATACAGCACATATTTCATTGATATAAATTTTATTTAATGGATAAGATTTTATTGTTAATTATATTGTTTTAGGGGGAGGGAGAGTTTTATTATAGATACGGTTTATATAAAGTATCTACATATATGTGCATCTACATATATGTGCATATACATGTGTGTACGTGTGTGTGTGTGTGTGTGTGTGTGTGTGTGTGTGTGTGTGTGTGTGTGTGTGTGTGTGTGTGTGTGTGTGTGTTTATATGTATGGGTGTGTATGAGTATATGTATATGTATATGTAATAATACTTTATATACTATCATGTTAAGATTATGATACTTATTAATGTACAGTTATCATTATCCAATTCCTGTAATAATAGTTCATTGAAAATGAAGATTAATTCACACTTGTTAACGTTCCTAATTTCCTCTACTTATCCCCCCCCCCTTTAAATAGGAGACAAGACGGCCTCTCCGCGACCACAGGAACAAGCCATCACGAACAACTTCGAGAAATTCCGAAGGCCGATCACGCTCCCGCCATCAACGCTCTCCGACCACATGCTGCTGTTCGCGTCCCAGGAACCCGATCAGGTCAGTCATAGAAAATGGTTCCGTCATATCCCCTTTACAGAAAACGGCGATGGTGTGCACCGGTAACTAGTGTAGATCACTGCTGTAGTTTTAGATTGATTGATTTTTTGTTTGTATTGTAATATTGTTGTTGTTGTTGTTGTTGTTTTAAGCACAAATTGCGTAGTGTTGTAAATAGAAGGGCTGTGCTTCACATGTAAATATATACATCTATACGTATTCCCTCATTCCACGCGATCACAGGAATGCACACGCACTGGAACAAGCAAACAAACACACACACATACACACACACACACACACACACACACACACACACACACACACACACACACACACACACACAACACACACACACACACACACACACACACACACACACACACACACACACACACACACACACACACACACACACACACAAAGCAGCTTGCCCGTCGTGCATGAATGATGATAAAGCACCAAATGTAGATATCTCTTTCAAGTTCTTTAAGAGGCAACTTGAAAAAAGGAAAATAATTTTAGGAAAACCGTAAGCAAAATGCGAGGCAAAAAATCGACTACAATGAAATACATTTCCTCGCGAAGAAAATGTAGCAAGATTGTCCTCAGTAGATCCTAATATAAGGTGGATCTCGACCGTTTGATAAGGGGGATCAGATGGTCTTCAAAGATATTTCAAAAAGGTATTGTGGTTTTGTAAGTTGAAGAGTATATAGCATTGATGTTGCTACGGGACGACAGAGAAATTGGTAAGGATAGAGAAGAAGAGAATGAGAAAGAGGAGAACAAGAAGAAGACAAGTTAGAGGAAGAGGAAAAAGCCGAAAAATTAAGAAATGGAAAAAAAGATCTCTACGCACTTCTTCCACGCATGACAAAACGACTTTGGATGAATTCCCTAAAACACTAAACTGACTTGTTCTTTAATACATTTAAATGCATGATTTGCATGTCTAAATGATATCTCTAGCATGGAATACCTTGTGCTTGATGAATGCATGATGAAACCGTTTGACATAAAGATTATCTGTCCAATTCATTATTGTTTTATGAATATAACTGACAAAATAATGGAATGTTTGGGCTATTAACGTATGTGTCATGAAATTAATTACTAACATCATTACTAACTTGCCTTCAAGTAATTTTTCAAAGATTAACAAATTTAGTTTCCTGTGGCAATGTCTGTGTATTTTCCTTTCTTTTATTCCGGATTTTTCTTTTTGTTGTGGCTCTTGCTCTCTTTCTTATTAACTCGGTATTGCTTTTATTTCTCTCTTTTCTTACAATTATAACATTCTTAAATTACCTCTCTCTCTCTCTCTCTCTCTCTCTCTCTCTCTCTCTCTCTCTCTCTCTCTCTCTCTCTCTCTCTCTCTCTCTCTCTCTCTCTCTCTCTCTCTCTCTCGTCCTCTCTCCTTGTTCCCTAGCTCTTCTCTTCCCCTTCCTCTCTCCCCTTTCGTCGAGGGAAGGAACAAGACCGCCTGAGTCGCCGTTCCTCTCCCTCGACCCTTCTGCGCCTCCTGCATGGATCTCACGCCCTGCCGACTAACCCTACTAACAGGCGGCTCGAGGACGTAAGCTCTCTCGCAAGCGCCCCGGGCAGAGGTACTCCTCCTCCAGACGCCCTCCCGCCGGCCCCCAGAGCTCGTCGGACTCGCTCAGGAACATCCTCGCCCTCCTCACCTCCCAGGGCTTCTTCGGGCCCTCGGGACTCGGAGAGGGGGTGCGGGAGGAGGGAGAGAAAGAGAAGGAGGAGGAGGAAGGGGAGGAACAAGGAGAGAAGGTAGAGGAAGAGGAGGGAGAGTCCGGGGGCGGGTCGAGTGGCCCAGACCTCAAGGGCGTGCCGGGGTTGGTAGGGCCCGAGGAACCGTCCGTGCCCCTCAGGGTCGTGACGGACTCGGACCTGTTCCTCACCCGCACGTACCTGCACACGGTGACCTACCTGACGGAGATGGCCGGCACGGGGGACATGACGCGCCTGGAGGTCATGTCTAGCGTGGTCACACACCACCCCGCCTTCCACTCCCTCGCCCCCAGGGTCACCGCCCAGGTAACGCCGCCAGGAACCCAATCCTTCCTTCCTTTCCTTCCATGCTTCCCCGATCGCTGCGTAAACTCCGTGTCTGATTTTTTTTCTCTCAGCTGAAACGAAGAAAAAAAATGTAGATACGAAAAAAAGTTTATAGATTAAATGAGACTTTTCTCTGCAGAAACGAAGAAAAAAAAATTAATTGACACTTTTCTCAGCTGAACCTAAGAATAAGATAAAGATTATAGATTAAATGACAATGTTAGAGATGCTTCACCATTGAAGTTATCTTGAACCATTTGGAGTGACATGCTTGAACTGGGCCGAAAAAAGAGCTTGTACATAGCCTGGCAAGAAGGTACTAACTATTAATGATTAAATTAATTAGCTTAATTGGTGCTCGTAGAATAGATGAGGTAGATAATCTGATAATCTCAGTGTTAGAGGGAAAAGGTAATCACAGTTTCATAGTCCTTTTTACTCTACTGATCTGGTTTATTCAACTCATTAGCAGATTATTAATTAATCGTAGTTAATGTAGGAAAGATATGAATGAGATATTATTTATCCTCATTTACACCTTTTGCTATTTATGATAGAACATGTCAACGCTTTAGTATATAGAGGAATTTCGACAGTGTGTAGTAAGTTGACATACCTGCAGCTAAATGGTGCCTTATCTAATAGTATGTTAAGAAGACATACAAAAAATATACAAAGACATACATAAAAGTGCGACTGATTACACCACCAAAGGATTAAATTACATTATTTTAAAAAGATTACATTATTTTTTAAGAGATTACATTATTCTTAAGAGATTACATTAATTTTAAGAGATTACATTATTTTTAAGAGATTACATTATTTTCCCCATTAAGATATACGAATATTGCTGATAAACAACTTCCTTTATTTTCAATGCTTTATATAAACCTATTTTATATGAAATCTATGGAATCGGTTTGCATGTTAATAATAACATTCTATGATTTGAATGTTTTATATATTTGTTCAACTAAAGGAATGAATTTTCAAATTTATGGCTATACTAAAGTAAATATTCGTACTTTAATGTTCTTCTGAATAAACCGAATCCATAGATCAGAACCTAAACATCCCTGCCAAAATGTCCCTAAAACCCATAAAAAAATCAATAATACCCCTTAAATCTAAAAAAAAGCAAAATGAAATCAATAACACCCCACAAATAAGTCAAAATCATTAAATATAAAAACAAACAATCAACCACATCCCTTTAATCTTTAAAAAAAAAAACGAAATCAGTAACTACAGCTTTCCCCCGCTTATTCGAATAAAAAAACAAACAAACTAAAAAACACGCATCAAATTAACAAATCTTAAAAGACGACCAAAGCTGAATCACAACAACCCCAGCCATCCCCACCGAAAAAAAACAGTCACGTGACACTCAACCCCACTTTTTTTTTATGAATGACGACGACAGGTGACACAGCTGGCCGGCGGGGATGACGGTGCCTTCCAGACTAACACGTACTTCACGACCTACACCTACTACAACACCATCTTGGCTGGCAATCGACCCTTCGTCATCACCAGCAAGCAGACGGTGCAGAACGTCGTGACTGTTCCTCTGCCAGACACCGGGTCATTCATTGAGAGGACGGAGGTGTGTGGTTGAGGGGAGAGGGAGGAGGGGAGGGGGGGAAGAAGGGAGGTGAAGGAGAGAGGGAAGAGAGAGGGAGAAGAGAGGGAAAGAAAGATGGAAGGTGAAAAGGAGAAAGAAGGAGGAGTGAGAGAGGAGGAGAGGGAGGGAGAGATGGGAAGAGGAGGGAGAGAGGGAAAGAAAGAGTGAAAGAGAGAGGAAGAGAGGGGGAGGAGTGAAAGAGGGGGAGAAAGGAAGAGGGGGAAAATAAAGAGGAAGAGCATGGAGAGTCCATGGGAGAAAGGGAGAGGGGAGAGTAGGGAGAGAGAGAGAGAGAGAGAGAGAGAGAGAGAGAGAGAGAGAGAGAGAGAGAGAGAGAGAGAGAGAGAGAGAGAGAAAGGGAAAGACAGAAATATTTGTATTGATGTGTATGTATGTATGTATGTATATATATATACATTCTATCTTTCTCTGAAAGAGAGAGAGAATGCATGAGGGCGCATTTGATAATGTACTTGCGAAGTAAAATGTAGTTGTCAGTTTATATTTGCATATGCAAACTGCACAGAATTACCAAAGTACTACTCGCACGTGCTTGATTGCCGCGCTCACGCTCTCCTATCCAGCTCCGAAAAAATCTGAATCTTCTCTAACTCGCGCTCCCGTTGCAGGTGACCTTCGACACGCAGACGTACTTCACCACGCAGACCTTCACTCGCACGGGCGCCGACGACCAGGTGGAGACGTCGCAGGAGGTGCTGACGCAGGTGGTGATCACGGAGGCCCCGACCGTGGAGCGCTCGAGCGTGGCCCCGAGCAGCACCTCGCTCATCACCAAGACCTACTTCACGACGCTCACCTACTACAACACGGCGCAGGACGGCCGCATCAGCAGCGACACGGTCGTCTCCTCGGAGGTGGTGACGGAGACGGCCTACGCCACGCCCACGCCCACGCTGGAGGGCGAGGGCGCTGTCACTCTCACGCCGACGCCCGCGCTTCAGCCCGAGGTGTCCTTCGGCGCCGACCAGGACGAGCTGGTGGTGTACGCCACCAAGACGCTGTACACGACGCTCACGTACCTGACCACCATCCTGGAGGGAAGCGAGACCATCACGGCCTCCAGGATCGAGGTCTCGTCCAACATCGTCACGGAGCCGCTGACGTCGGCCCTGAGCGCGGAGGAGCTGCATTCCATCAAGAGCTCTTACCTCTCGGAGCAGCTGCGGCCCAGCGTCGCGGCCGAGCCAGAGCCCCAGACGGTCATGTACTACCACATCCGCGATAATCTGTACAAACAGCTCCGCACTTTCTTCGCCACTTACACGCACTATACCACGATGAGCGGCGGCGAAGTGCTCTCGCGGCTGGAGACCAAGACGAAGATCCTCACCTCCACCGTGACCACGGCCAGCGTCCCGGCGTCGCTCCTCATCAACCCCACGGCCGCCGTCGAGCCCATCTTCGCGACCGACTTCGCCTCGGCTGCAGGACCGAGCCTGCAGCTCGACCCATCCTACCTGTCTTCACTGAAGAGTTCCTTCTTGGCAGGTCGACCCACCGTGGGAGATCCAGGCGAGGAAGAAGGCCTCACAGCCACAGTCCTGGTGGAGGAGGGCGATGCCTCCGGCACCTTCGTGGTTAGCGACTCCACCACATCAGCCACTCTGCTGGTCCGCCCCACGGACGAGCCTTCGACCTCGTCCATCAGCGGCCAGACGATTGTGATCGTCGACTCAGCGCACTTGTCGTCCCTGAAGTCCTCTTACCTGGCTTCGCTCTCGGCACAGCTGGCGTCCACAAAGGTGCCCACAGTCGAGCCCACCGTCAGTCCTTCACCAACCGTGGTCCCAGCCACAGGAACCACCGCGGTGCCCGATGAAGGAGACCCGTCCACGACGACGCCAGATCCAGAAACGGATCCTACTATTACTACATCCATCCTCAATGAAACCACAGTCGTGCCAGGCACCGACGGCACGCCGACAACGTTGAGTCCGGGCGACACAGTCGTTGTCGTCGACCCTGGCGATGGGGGCGAGACAACCATCCTGCCGGAGATACCTTTCACCGTGCGTCCTGACTTGCCCAACCCCGACGAACTCTTCCCAGGAGGAGTCATTCCAGCGGCAGCCAGCGGCGGTTCTTCCTCTGGTGGCGACAGCTCCTCCTCCTCCTCCTCTTCGAGCGACGGAGGCTCAGAGGCCCCCGAGGGCAGCTCTGGTGGCATCAGCATCACAGGTTCTGGAAATAACGGCCTGAACATCGACCTGGGTCCTATGCTGACGGCTGTGGCTGGCATCCTCCGCAACAATCTCAACAGCCAGATTGCTGCCAAATCAGACGACAACCGCAGGAAGATCAACTCCCCGCTGCGACCTCCCAACACTCTCATTTCCGCGCAGCGCGAACCTCTGCTGATCCCTGTGGGTGGTGTGGGTGCTTCGCTGAGCAGCTCTCGTGACCACACAGAGGGCCCCGAGCATGGCTTCATTCCTCTCAGACGCCCAACAGCTCCTGAAACGCAGCCACGGTTCCCTGCGGGCGCCCAAGAGCCCCCACGAGGCGCACCGGCGTTGAATGCCAACCCAGGCTTCATCAAGGTCGTGCCCGAGCTGCCAGACCTCCCCACGCCCATCCATCTGGACGAAATGGAGAAGTTCGGCCCCACTTTCCTCCCGCCGCAGAAGACGCAGTCCGGCTTCACCGCCATCACCACGGAGTCTCTGGGACCGACGCGCGTGTCGGTCATTTCCGGATCTCAGACCATCTTCTTCGGCGGAGTTGACCTACAGGACCTGCCTCCGCCAGGCCAGCCAGCGCCGACGTCGGTGCAGGGCGCAAGTGGCTTCGAGCGCACGTCCCTCTTCCTGCAGCCCAGCCAACCTGTCCTCCTTGAGGAGACGAGACCCATGCCAGTGCCAGTCCGAGTGCCGGTGCCAGGCGACGGCGGCCCCATCCCCCTCCCGGTGACCCCGCAGTCCCTGGGCGATCAGCTGGCGGTGGGAGACACGCAGGCGGACGGGATCTTCTCGAGGCCCTCGCCGCAGCTCCCTCAGCCCTCTCGCGTCGGCCCGGCCACGATCGTGAGCATTGAAGGGGACAACCGCATCGTCGGCACTCAGATCGTCCACGCAAGGCCGGTCGACACCTACCGACCCGAGCCTTCCGTCATCGTCTCGCCCGCCCGAGGGGAGTTCGTGCTGCAGTCCACGGTGGGCGTCGGCATCCTGTCGAGTGACTCCGAGGACGACCAGCGGCCGCGTCCGCCCCCGGGGCTGGAAGGAACCGTGCTGACGGGCGTCGAGACCATCCTCGTGGGCCAGGGAGCTGACAGCGGTCGCACGACTGTGGTCAGAGGCTCCTCGACCGTGATGTCAGGCGCCACGACCATCTTCAAGCCTCTGTTCACCCGACCTGCAGCAAATAACGAGCCTTTGGGTGACCTGACCTCCGTGGTGACCGGCCCAGGTGGCCTTCCCACGCAGTACATCACCCGCGTGGAGACGGAGGCTCGCACCATCACCGCCACGCGCACCGACGTCCTCTACACGGCCGGCGTCACGTCCACGCTGACGCAGGTGATCCGCAGCACCCTGCCCCTGCGCACCATCGTCACCACGGTCGTCGGCACAGCCACGCAGGTCAACTACATCACGGCGACGGCGCCCGCGGACGGCGCCTTCCTCCCCGGCGACCCCACCACGTACCCCCCGGGCTCGCCCTTCGACCCTGCCAACTACCCGTCCTTCCCGCTGGACGCCCAGCCCGGGGACGGCGACCTGCGACTCCCCGAGGACGCCGAGGTGGTGCTCAACGAGGCCAGCCTGGGCATCGCCGAGGACAACGAGATCAGCCGCGTGGTGGAGAGCAAGAGCCCGGACCAGGAGATCAACGTGGGAGGCCCCGTGCGCGCCGCCGTGTCCCTGTGCGACCCCCAGTGCTCCGCCGCGCGCCACGAGGTGTGCCGCCTCGTCCGCGGCGCCCACGCCTGCGTCTGCCGGGCGGGATACGCCAGGAGAGGCAGCGCTGATGCATGCAAACGTAAGTGCCAAAGGGCATCGTGTTTTCTCTTTGTTGTAGACGATATTTTGACGTTTGTAAACAGCTGGTGAATATATCCATATGTAAATACCTGTTTAAGTTGATATGAGCTTCGAGATTATAATTAGCTATTGAAATTATTGGAATATGCACTTATTTGTTTGTGTTCTTCATGTCGGATAATTGTGCATCTTTATAATAATCACACAAAAAGGATTCATACACATCTCTAAACTTGGCACATCACACCAAAAGAAAATTGATCCGGGACACCAAAACCAAAACCAACACAAACCCCAACTTCCTCAACACACTACAACTCTCACGCCCCTTCTCCTCCTCACAGCATCGGCCGCCTACAACGTGCAAATCCTGCTCGACCGCGTGAGCAACGACCAGCTGATCTACAACTCGCTCTTGCGCAACGCCTCCCACCCATTCACCGTCGAGCTCTCCAACGAGGCCACCTTCGGCATCGACCGGGCCATGCTCGGCTCGCACCTGGCGCCTCGCTACCACGCCGCCACCATCACCAAGTTCATGGACACGAAGGAGACCGTGATGCCGGCCTCTGTGGGGAGCATGGTGAGTGGCGGGGAAGGACGGGAGCTGGTTGATGGGGGCTTTGGAGAGTCGTGTTTTGTTTGCTCTTTTTTCGGGATCGGGAGGGGGGAAGGGGAGTGGGGTGTTATATTTTTTTAGGTATATGTTTCTCAGTTGGTGCTTTTCATAAGGCTTAATGTTATGCAAATGAACCCGGGCAGGGAGTATTATATTTCTTTAGGTATATATTTCTGAGTGTGCTCGTATTATACAAATGAACCCACCCACAACCCACAACCTCACCCTCGCGTGTCCCCCTCGCCTGCAGGACCACGGGCTGATCGCCGAAGTCAAGGTGGAGATCGCTCGGGGCGACGCCGACGGCACCGAGTACGAGGAGGAGATCATCAGCGAGTCGGTGGTGAAGGAGGCCCTCGAGTCGTCCTTGAGGAACACCAACTTCTCCCTGGGCGGCACCGAGCTCTTCGCCAACCGCGCGGTGTCGGTGCTGGCGGCGCAGGACTTCGACGAGTGCTCGGAGGTCGACCACAACGACTGCTCCGACAAGGCCCACTGCTTCAACACCCTCGGCTCCTTCCTGTGCGCCTGCAAGGACGGCTACAAGGACATGGACGACATGCCGGGCAGGCAGTGTGCTGGTACGTGCGACGAAGACGACGGCAGCGCTTTCTCCAAGAAAAACATTCTTTTTTTTATCTTAATGTTTGTTTGACATCATTTTGGCCACCTTCTAATTCAGATAGATAATTCACTTTACCGAATGACATGTCTCATCAAGGACTTCAAAGAACACCCAAACGCTGCCACTCGTAATAACAAAGAAAATTACATACCCATCTACCATTATTTCTTTTTTCTTTCTTTCTTGTCCCATCTCTAATTCTCCCTCTTCCCTTCCCTCAACAGTCCAGACAGAGCAGTGCGCCTTCTGCAACTTCCAAGGAGAGTGCATCGAGAAGGCTGATGGTTCCTACGGGTGCCGCTGCCTCCAGTGGTTCAGCGGCGAGCAGTGCCAGATCAACCTCAGAGGTACGGTGCCAAGAGAACACTCTAAAAACACTGAAGAGGACACTTAAAAATATAGTATTTGGATCTCAGAACATGCAGTCCTTGTAACTCAGAACTCACAGAACTTGGAATCTAGAATTAACTGCTTAGATCTTAGAATCTGTAATACTTGAGACTTAGAACTTACAGTATTTGAAACGTAAAACCAATAGTACTTGGATTTCAGAACCTACAATGCTTAAAAGCTAGAACTTCCATGACTTGAAACTTGGAATTTGCAGCACTTGAGACCCAGAACTTTCGATCTCAAAATACAGAACATAGAACAAAATTTAAGCATATAAACATCAAGTATTACAATTCAATATTTTTCTTTTTATCAATACGGTAAGATTTTCATAGATATTTCTCGTGTTCTTAGTGCTGCTGATTGTGCTCGTGACTGTGGGATCCCTGCTGATTCTGCTGCTGATGCTGTGTCTCGTCCTCTGCTGCCTCAGAGCGCGACGCAACACGAGGAATAAACTGGGACAGGTGAGATGCTCAGTGATGATGATGGTGATGATGGTGATGATGATGAATGTGATAATGGTAGTAGTAATGGTGATATTATTGATGAAGGATAGAATATTCATGATTGTGCGTCGTGATATGTACAAACTCCAAAAGAGCAAATATAAGCAAAGACACACACACACACAACACACAACACACACACACACACACACACACACACACACACACACACACACACACACACACACACACACACACTCTCTCTCTCTCTCTCTCTCTCTCTCTCTCTCTCCTCTCCTCTCTCTCTCTCTCTCTCTCTCTCTCTCACACTTCTCTCTCTCTCTTTCTCTCTTTCTCTCTCTTTTCTCTTTCTCTCCTCTCTCTTCTCTCCTCTCTCTCCCTCTCTTGTCCTCTCTCTCGACTCGCCTCTTCCTCTCTCTATACTCTCTCTCTCTCTCTCTCTCTCTCTCTCTCTCACCTCTCTCTCTCATCATCTCTCTCTCTCTTCAGTCTTTCTCTCTCTTCTGCTCCCTCGTCTCTCTCTCTCTCTTCTCCTTCTCTCTCTCTCTTGCTCTCTTCTCGCTGGTTCCCGTCTCCTCTCTCTCTTCTCTCTCTCCTTCTCTCCTACCCTCCCTCCTCCCTCCCTCCTTCTCCTCTTCTCTCTCTCGTTCCTCTTTCCTCTCCCTCCCTCCCTCTCCTCCCTCCCTCACTCTCCCTCCCTCCTCTCTCCCTCCTCCCTCCCTCCACTCCAAGCCCACCCACCAACACACCCAAACACCCAACAAACCCCACGCCCACCCAAACACCCCCCACGCCCCCACTACCCCATCATCCCCACGCCCACCCACCCCTAACCCCTCCCCTCCTCCTCCCACAGATGACCGGCTCACCCGCGTTCCTCCGGGCAAGAAGGACGCGAACGGACAGCACCCTCGACCGCCGCGCCATGATCCACGAGACCTCATCCGAGAGCTCCGCCGAACGCCCACGATCGCCGCCCACGTCGTTCATGGTGGGTGTGAGAGGAGGGGTTTTTTTCTTCTCTTGTGGGGGTGGGGTGGGGATGGGGGGGTGGGGGGATGGGTGGGGGTAAGTGGTGGGTGTGAGAGGAGGGTTTTTTTTCTTCTCTTGTGGGGGGGTTGGGGGATGGGGGATGGGGGGGGGAAGTGGTAATAAGGGGTAAGGGTGATAATGATTATGGTAATGTTGATGAAGGTCATGATAATAATGGAGTCAGTAATGATAATGATAATGTTTACAATGATCATAGTGGAGTCAATAATGATAATAACGATAATAATGATGTTGATAATGATAATTGTAATGATTGATGATAAAGATGATGATAACAGATACAACTTTGATAAAAATGGCAAAGCACCTATTAACTCCGTTTCCCCCCCCCCCGCAGCCTCCACCCCCGCCCATGCCCCAGGAGAAGCCCGAGCGCCCCCCGAGGCCCCCCAGGTCGGACGTCAGCGCCAGCAGGCAGTCCAGGACCTCCTTCGCCGAGGACCGCTCCGTAGGACTCCACACGACGCTGCCTCCCGTGGTACGTTGGGGAGAGGGGGAGGGAGAGGGGGAAGGGGCGAGGGGGAAGGAAGGAGAGTGAGGGAGAGAGGGGAAGGGGAAAGAAGGAGGGTGAGGGAGAGGGGGAAAGGGGCAAGGGGGAAGGAAGGAGGGAGAGGATAAGAGGAAGAGGGATCGGGAAGGAAGGGTGAGGGAGGAGGAAGGGAGGAAGGGACGGGAAAGGGAGTGTGGGTGATCCGAATCCTGTGACCTTGCAGCCGCGTCCCATGACCTTTCTCTGTGCCTGACGCCCCCGCCTCCCCTCAGCTGATCCCGCGCGTGAAGGGCCCCGCGCCGCGCCGCCCGTCCGTCGTCAGCCGCGGCGAGAACGGCGAACCGCGCGTGATGATCGGCGCCGACGCCCGCTCTGACCTGGCGGCGTCGCAGCAGGCGTACGTGGACCTGCTGGACCCGCCGTCTCCATCGCCCCGACCCACCACGGGCGCAGCAGCAGGAGGGAGAGCGCCCGCGTCCGTCCACTCCATCCACGCGCGCATCAACCGCTCCAGGTCGCAGTCCCGCGAGCGCCTCACGGACTCGTTCCTGCACCACCACCTCCCGCAGGGCTCCATGCGCTCCAGGTCCTCCGACAGGCTCCACCACAGCAGCCACGACCTCCACTCCGAGTTCGGGGTCAACTTCTCCTTCAGACACGACGGGGAGAGGTGAGGCATCAGGTTCTATTTCAAGCTTATAGTCAAGAACCTTGTGGAAGCTCTTTTAATTCCCTCTTTAGGACCTTGTCAGAATCCTTTATATATATATTTTATATTTCCTTTGTCTTTTTCTAAGATCATATTTATATTTTCTTTGCCCTCCTTGTAAAATCATGTTTATAATTTCTTTGTCTTCCTTCTAAAATCATATTCATATTTTCTACGACCGGAAAATCCCACGAGAGCAACACAGTCCATTAAGGGAACACCACCTAATCCTCCACCGTTCTCTCTCAGGAGCGAAGCGAGGTCCTACGACGAAACGACAGTCCGGCCGCCCGTCAGAACCGCGGGTCCCGACAGCTTCTACTCCTCGAAGGCGCTGTCTTCCCAACACATCTCCGACGTAAGTACATAGGGCCAAATTCCACAGGAAATTAATATCAGAAATTTTTAAGAAGTGATGCAGGTAGACTGACTATTAGACGAAGAGATGATGCTGATGATGCTCAGTCCAATCTCGTCTTATGCTTGACTGGACCATGTCAACAGACTGGCTTTCATTACCCTTGGACCTTCCTTTAAATAGTTTCTTACCTAAGAAAACATTTAGATAAGTTTGAAAATATTAGTTAATGTTCTGGTAATGTTAGTGTTGATAAAGTTAGTATTTAAGATTAAGTTACAGTTCTTCCTAGTTCAATGTGCAAATGTGCATAACGTTCTTATAGCATGACTCTTTGGTTATCAATTTTCGTCCTTATGTCAACTGTAGACAATATAGGAGTCTTGGGAGCAATTGATAGTCCTTGTAGAATAGATATGCATATTCCTTATAAACATTCAAACTCTTTAAATAGATTAGAGTTTAGCGTTAGAGTAGATTATAAAAATTTCGACCCATGAATTTATATTAAATAGTTGCAATTTTAAAACCTGAGAAATAGTGTATATGTTTCTTAATTTTTCGGGAGATTTTTTTTTTTCTTTCATTCGTTCTTGCTTTTCGAAAGACACAAATTTATCAAAAGCACTTCGATCTGACTCTATATATACTTTTTTCGACACAGTTGGGATAGCAGGTGGAAACAGTCTCAAAGGAAATACAGTAAAGTAGAATACAAAACGAGAAAAAAGAGAAAAAATACAAAAAACAAAAATAATAATAATAATAAATAAATAAATAAATAAATAATCTACATCGGACTTAGTCAGTTATGGCTGTGATTGCATTTTTTAATTTGGAATTTAATTTTAAAATGTGTTGGTGACTCCGTATGCAAAGGAATGAAAATAATGTTAATGATAATAGTCTGAATACAAATAGTAATCATAATAATGCTGATGATAATGATTATAGTAATGATTATCATTATGATGACAGAATAGATTGACAAATAAAACCAAGAACTTAAGAGATCGGTTTCAATCTCCCTCTCAAAAAAATAAAACGCCCCAACGACCCCCCTTACCCACACCTGTCTTCCCCCACATACACCTGTGTCCCCCCCCCCCACCCCACACCCGTCTCCCCCTCCCTCCCCTCCCCCCATCTCCCCCCCCCCCCCCCCCTCTCCCTCTCCCACCCGCCCTGTCTCCCCCTCCCTCCCCTGTCTCCCTCCCTCCCCTGCCCCTCCTCCCACCTCCCCCTGTCTCCCCCTCCCTCCACACCCGCCCCCGTCTCCCCCCCCCCCACCTGCCCCTGTCTTCCACACCTCACCTGCCCCTGTTACATCTGTCTCTTCCCCCCACATACACCTCCCCCCCTCCCCCACATACACCCTGTCTTCCACGCCTCACCTTTCCCTCTCGCAACCTGTAGGAGCACCAGACGATGGCAGAACGTGACGGCGGATCCACGCTAGTTTACCCGCAGACAGAACTATACAGACCCGTTCGTGTAAGTGACTTGTGCATGCACCTTTTTGCTCGCTTGCTTTGGTGCTGAGATCCTCCTCTTGGACCGTATTCGCGTTGACAAAATGTAGAAAGGTATGAATGGATTTCTGACGCAGAGATAGTCGAAACCGGTCTTGCATTGTGAAGATATTCATTTTCATTCATACCTTTCTACACTCTCTTCTTGATTCGGTGTGTGAAGTGACTTGTGCTTTATGCTGTCTGACTTGCTTATACCTCTTGTGAGACTTTTTTCCTCGACTGCAAGCTAACAGGAAGACAATTTGATTGTTGTTTTATAAGGGCTCACTCTCGTGTATGAGTATATATATATATATATATATATATATATATATATATATATATATATATATATATATATATATATATATATATATATATATATATATATATATATATATATATATATATATATATATATAATATATATATATATATATATATATATATATATATATATATATATATATTATATATATATATATATGCATATAAATACAGATTCCCTGGCCCCTTTTTACTAATGATTGTGAATAAAGATTTTAATCCATCAGTTGAAATAACTCCTGACATATTTACTTGTTTCTTGTGAGTAAAATAACGGTAGTTCTAATCTGAGAAATGATAAATTGCCTAAACTAACTCACTAAGGTTTATGAACAACGATCTTTCCATGTAACTGCCTGCTGTTCGTGCCATTTATCTTACATGTATTTTTTGTCTTGTTCATTCACATTCGCTCTGTCAAGACTTCTAACTTGTGTCAGTATCCCTTAGGAACTTTTGTTTATGACATATCCAATAGAATTTTGAGTGTTTCACTTTTCTTTTCTTCCTTGCTTTTGTTATTTTCCGTTCAATATCCTTACGAAGAGAAGATACAGAAGGATAAAGAAGACAACGAAGAACGATAACCGTAGCTGTAAAAAAGAAAAAGGAAAGAGAAATAAGAGAGAGAATATAAACATCTAAAACGTACTCATGCTCAAGGATCCAAAAGGGATTCGACCCCATAAACTAATCCCATTTCTCCCCCTCTTTCCCTCCAGGACACTGATTCCCTAAGCGACATGAGCGACCACCACTCCAAGGCCACGTCGAGTAGAGCAGCTTCCAGAAGCTTCTTCTCCTGAGGTGTCTCCTAGATGAGATGTCACTCAATCGGTGCTGTCAGACTGGTGTCAATCAAGTTGTTGCGTCACGGCTGCGTGTTCTCTGCGGCGTTCCTAAAGTGCGCTGACTACGACCCTCTCCGTTTTCTTCGGTTACTTCAACAAGATGGGTAAACTGTGCTAAATCGAGTAGTTTATAGAATCGCCAGGTCAAGGCACGTGCGCTGGGCTGTGTTGTCCAAATATCGGGCTTGACTAGAAAAAAAAAATAGTCATGATGTATATTTTTTATTATTCCGTTCTTTCCGCACTTCTTGTAATTCATTGTAATATCTTTACGCTCTTGCTGTTTTGGAAATAATCTTGTTATTTAGCCGTTGAGAACGCACGCCCTTTATCACGGTTCGTAGGACTCGCGACAGTGAAAAAGGGCGAGGGTAGTATGATTTAGAAAAAAAAGGTATCTATTTTTCAGTTGTGTTTTTACCTCTGACTGTGTGCTTGCTCTCTACACTAGAGACCAAGAATGTAAGGCCAAAAAAATGGTTGTTTGCCATTTATGATTACGCAATTGCCTCTAATTTTCAGAGGTGCTTTTGTAATTGGCTAAAAAAATGAAAATGGGGACGCTCGATAGTTTCAGAAGGGTGGACTATTTTATTACCACCTATTTTGGTGCCTATTATTTTCTCTGTAAAAAAATGAACATTATGTAATAATGCTGAATGTAAAGCAAAGAAGGTCACAAATAGCTTGAGGAAAGTGATTTTATTTGCTCAAGAAGGCTTTTGATAATATTTATTTATTTTTGATGCTATAGTTGTCACGTACACATACACATATATATACATATATTTTTTTTTATCTGTTTGCTGTTTCGTAAAACCTGTGAACGCTGGTGACGGCATTTCTTACCCTTTTTGTGACCTCTTTTGCTCTTTTATGATATATATATATATAAATATGAATATATTTTCCTTCCCCCCCCCACACAAAAAATCAATCTTATCCATTTATTGTAATTATATAAAATGCTTTCTTATTTTACTTTTTATTGTTTTGATGTAAAGTAAGAAATAAATTGTTTTGTTAGTATACTTGTAATTACTAATAAGTATGTTTTGGGGTAATGTTCATTCAATCGGTTTCG